AACAATGAGTCTAAATCTTAATTTTGTATGATAAATCTGACTAAAGTTTTGTTTTAATAGATAGCTTATTACAATTGATACATGATTTGCATAATAGAATGCCAAGTTGCATCCTGTTAATCTTAAATTAACATTACAATTACATTCCTGATATGTGTGAGTGTTTCTTAGGTGTTTAAAGAAGCAATTTGCATAAGTTGGTAAATGGTTCTTTCATATTGTGTTTTCAGTATTGGTTAGGGAAGTAAAAATTTTTTCGTGGGGCAGATCAAATCCAATGTCAAACCAAATCCTGTATGAATTATTTAAAAAGAAAGCAGCCTACTTTTGAATTAATGAAATTTGAAATAGTAAGATTTGTATTTCTGTGAGTATTTGTATGAAGTGTTGCAGAGGATCACATTTTCAAAACTACTTTTCATTAGTTTGTGTCAACTTTTCTTCTTTTTGTCTTGGAAACTTCATAATGCAAATATTGTATCTGGTAATATCATTTGCCCATTTATACTAGAGAGAAAGATATTTTATTTTTTGTTACTAAATTACGATCCTATTCCTATGTAGCAATCGCTATTACGAGCAATTTTAAATAATCCATTAAAATGCATGTAGTGCTGTAAAAAAAATCCAGGTTGTCCCCATGCAAACATTGATCAGAAAAAACGAAATCAGAATTAATTTTCCTTTCTAAACCCTTTGGATATGATTTATGGAGGAAATGGTTTTCTGGAGCATTCTCAGGAAGATGCTTGGGTGCTATGGGTAGAAGTAGAAGGAGGTGGAGCTTCCCAGCCGTGTCAAGAAGTGGTGGATGCTCAAGCATATGGGTTTGAGGGGCAGTGAATGACATCTGAAAGGACAGTGAGGCACATACTTCGCAGACCAAATAGAACTTCTGTAGCTCAATGATTTTTTTTTTGTACCCTGAAAGACACTTACAAAGTTGCTTTAGACCTCACAGTCCCAAGGGCAGGACAGAACTTAACTCTGCAGATCTGTAATGTGACATGCAATTAATGCTCTATGAGCCGTTTGCCAGAAAAGAGTTCAATAGTCATCAGTTAAAACACTGTGATGATAATTTCAATTACTAGCTAATTTCTAGATTTGAGAATATACTTTATTTTTTAAGTATGATTACACTCCTTTTTGAGTCCTCATATGAGCCGAGAGCAAAAACCTTTGGCACTTGACTGTTCAAAAGGAGCATTCTGCTATAGGAAAACAATATGAGCAGGGAACACTTGAACAGGAAAATACGATTTTTCGAGTGTTGTTTGGAAAGAGGAGCCCATATTTAGAGGATATACACTGGAAAATTAGCAAATAGCTGTCCTAATAATTTATTAGAGGTTTTATTACATTTAATCAAGGAGGAAGCACTGAGGTCACTTTTTAAATGGAGCAGTCAAGTTGGCTTTCAAGGCGATTCAGCACGAAGAAATCTAAAAGGCACGCTATTTCATCTCTTTGATCCTTAAGAACAGAGTGGCACCAGCCCACTTGAACAGCAATGGGATGGCAGGACAGATGTCTGTAGAGGTATGGAAAGTTAGGTCAAGCTACAGAACGTAAACCAACATTCAGCACATTCCAAAACTTTTGAGGAAGTAGAAAGATGAAAGGACGCATTATATTGTGTCAGCTTTGTTTGTTTTTTTCTTTTTTTTTGCTGAGGAAGATTCGCCCTAAGCTAACATCCACTGTCAATCTTTCTCTCTTTGCATGTGAGCCATCACCACAGCACAGCCACTGACAGACCAGTGGTGTAGGTCTGCACCCAGGAACCCAACTGGGGCTGCCAAAGCGGAGCACACCGAACTTAACCTATAGGCCACCGGGGCTGGCCTCTGCTTTGTTTCTTAATTCTGTGTTTGTGTTTTGCTGTGATGTGATCACATTCATGAATGAGCTTACCTTAGAAAAAAGACAAGCTTTGTAAAGGTAAGGATTGATCAACCTCTCTCCAAGAAGCTAGTACAGTGACCTGAATATAGGTGTGTAATAAATTCTTGGCTAGTGGTGATAAGAACTAATCCACTGAAAACAGGAAGATTTCCATTCCAATTACTCACCCACCCATTTGACTACATTGAGAGAAAATGGGGGATATGCAGGATCGATTTAGTAGCTATGGTGATCTTTTCTCCTGATGTAGTAAATGGGTTTGAAGTTCACAATTGTTTGAAAAGTCCTTTGCCCTGGAGTGTTCTAAGAGTAGGTTGTTAGGCATATTCCGTGAGAACACAGAGAGCAGAGTGATCCACATTGCTTTTTCTTCCCCCGTTTACTTCTTTTTGAATCCTACCGTAAGTTGTCCTGGATTCACTTTAGAACTAGCTAAGATGAGAAGTAGACACAGAGCTTGACAAACACACCACTTCCAGATCAATCTTCACAGCTCTCTAAGTGAGGGGTAATCACTGTAAATCTTTTTTTGCAGTTGATTTATATAGTAATTAAGGCAGAGAAGAAGCACACACAAGGCCAAAAGTGGAAAAGTAGCGCACATTTTTCATGGAAAGTTTTTCTCCCATAAGTCAGAGCACAGGAGAGCATTAGAAAAAAAATTACAAGGAACTAGTCACGCTCACTGACATGCTATGGGAGAAAACTAAGTCATCTGTGTTTTCTGTTTAAATGTATATATTTCCATTGATTAAAAAAGCACATGGTGAATTGATCTTGTAGCTTATAAAAGCAATATTTCAGCTTCGATGTTTTTTATTCCTTTTTTTAATCAAATTATCTCCCAAAGCATTTTGACTGAAGTTTATTAACAAGGCAATGCAGCTATTAATGCTTTGCAGTGCACTCTTGCAAAGTGAAGTAAGAGACATGACTTTTCCTATGCATACTGATCATACCTTCTGAAGGCCTAAAACAACTAAAGATTGCACAGCTGAGTGGTTTCGAAGAAAGAAAATTGTTACTTTGTCTTTTTTTATGCAATGTTATTAGATTTTTGGCGGGGGAGCATTCATAAGAAACATTATATTGCTGGATTTTAACTGGTATTTCAAATATTATCAGATTTCTAAAAAAGTAAGTTAGAAATTGAGAGAGACCCAAGCAGCTGCAGGCTTGTGCTGGGGTGGAGAAGACTGGGAAGAGGACCACAGACTCTAGGTGGACAGCCAGGCCACCCTTCAGAAAAGCTGGTGTGATATTATTTATATCAACCAGGAAAATAGTCACATTTTTGACA